TGTTTTTATATAGCAATCAACGATTTACTACACCTGTAAAAATTAAATATAAAATAGTAAGAATAGTTGAAGAAAACATCAAGGAAATAATAAAACAACACATCATGTGTGTGTTTGTTATAGCAAAGAATAGTTGAAAAAAAATCAAGGAAATAATAAAACAACACATCATGTGTGTGTTTGTTATAGCAAAGAACAGTTGAAGAAAACATCAGGGAAATAATAAAACAACACATCATGTGTGTGTTTGTTATAGCAAAGAATAGTTGAAGAAAACATCAAGGAAATAATAAAACAACACATCATGTGTGTGTTTGTTATAGCAAAGAATAGTTGACGAAAACATCAAGGAAATAATAAAACAACACATCATGTGTGTGTTTGTTATAGCAAAGAATAGTTGAAGAAAACATCAGGGAAATAATAAAACAACACATCATGTGTGTGTTTGTTATAGCAAAGAATAGTTGAAGAAAACATCAGGGAAATAATAAAACAACACATCATGTGTGTGTTTGTTATAGCAAAGTCACATCGGGTTATCTTCTGTTTCCACCAAGGGGAATCGAACCCGTGATTTTAGCACCACTGTCCCACCGGGGGGACAACACAATATTGTATGTAGCAGTTAGTGTAAAAACGCAGCAAATGGAATTAGCTGTAAGAAATCTTGATATCAGAGAAACTAGTTCTGACACAGAAGACAGTGTACGACTGAAGACTAGTTTATCCAATATCAAGACTTCTGATAGTTTGTTCCATTTTCTCTAACAAAAACGATACTACTAAATCACATACTAGAAGATTGTGTCTTGATAAAGTCTTCAGAATGACACCACCCCTATTCTCTTCTTTAATTATCAATAACACTTATGACCTACTATAATTCACTGCTCACAGAAACTTTACAGGAAAAACAAAAGTATTTACTTGAACAGTTTTAATGTTTTTAACAAATAATTCAAAGTAAGCAATTATGGGTATGATATTAAATTGGCAAAAAGGTAAGATCAAACCCACGAAAATATAAAAATAAAGTTGTTTTTAATTCATGTTAAAACAGGAATTCTAATAAAGACGACAACAAAGACTCACCTGTAACATTAACTCTCTACCAAGCCTGTCTTCTAACATGCGAACAACAAGGTGGGCCTTTTTCTGTAAAATCTTGTTATATTTTGGTGAGGTTGTGTGGAGATGCTTTGTGGGAAAGTAGAAACTGTTTTCCCTGTTCTGATTGGATGACATTGAGGAAGATGTGTAAGCACTACAGTCAAGCACTAATCCACCATTTGTTTGTTCATATTCAATAACTTCTTGAAGGTCCTGAAAACATGAACAAAAATCTTCACACAGAATTTAAAGTAAACACAGTTTGTTCCTATATAATAAATAACATCTTGAAGATACTGAAAACATGAACAAAAATCTTCACACAGAATTTAAAGTAAACACAGTTTGTTCCTATACAATAACTTCTTAAAGGTTAGGAAACAAATAACCTCTGATACAACAATTAGGATAGATATAAAAGTATAAAAATATCTGGTGTGTGTGATGTAAAATACTGTTTTTTATTCTAATGTAAGACTGTTTCAGATTTGACATCAAAATACAATATTTTGTGATTTTGACATTTTTCTTGAAGTACTAATATTACTATAATTCATGCATTAAAGTAATAATACACTATTAACATAACCACAGAAGAATTTTTTCCTATAATAATTCTGTTAGATCCTCTTCAGTCTCAAAAATTTCCTGTGGGTATATTTATTATTCTCTTAATAATTAAATTATTATAATATAACTAATTTGTACATTGGCAGCAGTTTTTTTTTTAAATTAAAGTTACAATTCATTTATCTCTAACTGTTCACAAAACTTCTATTAACTGATTTAGTTCACCTTTTAATTTATTTTATGTGTACAAAATCATGTAAAACTTCAAACATTTAAAGCTGGGGCTTAAAGTTTACACACCTTGTACAGCCAATAACGATATTCATTATTTCCAAAGGCTTTTTTATAGTACTGATTTGATAAGTAAGCAGAGATCCCCTTCGGCAACCACACATCAGACCTGAGAAAAGAAGAAAAAAAAAAAAAGAATGATCATGAGCAAGTGGAAAGTTAAATTAAGTTAACTAGGAGTTGATTTAATAAGCTTTTGTTAACTAAGAGCAGATACACACACTTAAATTAAATTTAGATTTACTATTTAATCAACAGTAGATTTATTAATACACTTCAATAACTTAAGGGCAGATTTAAGACACTTAAAGTAAGAATAGCCATGAACACATTTAACATAAGAATAGTTTTAACAGTCTTGAACAGAGTAAGAGCAGACTTATTAATATATTTGAATAAAACAAGAACAGATTTAACTAAATGTGCACGGGGTTGGTCCACTGGACCAGCCCCATACTCGAGAAGGAATTCTACTACAATTCCAAATTTACTATGTGTACCTACATGAAATTTGGCAAGCTTTTAATAAAGTGTACAAGTCTGTTGTAAACAAAAAAATTCCAATGTGTTACAAAATTACTTGTACTCAAGATATGTCTGCGAATTGATGTTAATCTGACTCAGACTCTGACAAGTCTGAGTGCAAGGTGATATTCATATGAAAAATAAAATTATTTTTGTCCACATATTACATTTCCATAACATCTAGTTTGTAGTTAAGCAGAAAGCTACACAAAGGGCTATATGTGCTCTGCCCACCAGGGGTATCGAAACTCGGTTTCTAGCATTGCAAGTCCACAGACATACCACTGTGCCACTGGGGAGCCATAACATCTAGAACCTACATAATGCACGTATTGTTTTTTCAGTAATGCTGTATAATGTATGTGGTATTTACTCTCTTCTACGTTGAAATATAGGAATGCACACAGGGTTAACATACATTACATAAGGGCAGACATAACACATTTAACAGAATAGTTTTAACACTGCTGAACAGAGTAAGTACAGATTTTATATAAAAAAAATAATGCAAATTTGTGATACAACATTAACAAACATGGTAAATGTAAAAAGTAACACATAAACATGAGTAGTTTTATTAATAGTTACCACGAGTACATGCTGATAAAACATCCAAAAAATTGATCGGCAACAGCCTGCGCCATCACCCGACGAGAGATGTATGTTTGGTCAATGATGTGACGAGAGTGAAGAAGATTGGTGCTAGACGGAAAACAAACAGATATACGATCTATAAAGGTCTTGTTTATTCTAATACACCAACACTCTACAAAGAATAACACCTAAAATTTGTAACATAAGAAGTAGAAAATCAAAATATACTGATGTGAGTAGTCACCACATATACATGTTCCAGTTTTTATTTTAATTTCAAAAATGTTTAAAAACGAGTGAGGTCTAGAATTTAGAAATATTGAAGTACAATTATCTAAGCTCTACATATTTTCATTTGTATTAATCCTTCGTAGACAAATATATCAACAGTATATGGCACTAGAAACCATAAGATGCTTTAATAGTAAAACCGTTCTAGGGTTAATACATTTGTTTGTTTGTTATGGATTTCGCGCAAAGCTACACGAGGGCTATCTGCGCTAGCCTTCCCTAATTTAGCAGTGTAAGACTAGAGGGAAGGCAGCTAATCATCACCACCAACTCTTGGGCTACTCTTTTACCAACGAATAGTGAGATTGACCGTCCCAATATAATGCCCCATGGCTGAAAGGGCGAGCATGTTTGGTGTGATGAGAAGGCTAATAAGTAAAATCCATTGTGGAAAGTTTCAAACATCTCAAATTCCATATACATACCTGTTTGTAAAAGCATTTAGTCACAAATATTATAATTACATGTAATTAACTGAAAATATTTATTGAGAAATTTTAGGTTTCTGTTGTTTTACATATAGTTGCCATTTGCACAGCAGGAAGAGTTGTGACATCAACATATCCAACACTGTAGAAAATACTTACAAATGGCCAGTTGGATAAGCAAGAATTTCAAATCTTCATTATGAAGTCCAACACATAAGCTGTTAATTACAAGATTTGCCATCCATAAAAATCAGTTACAAGGATCATTTTCACAACCCATTCCACTTAAAAATAACAAAAAAAGATCAGAGAAGTAAACATAAGTTTAAATAAACTTACTCTAGAATAGTCATTGTAGCATATGGAGCAGAATCGACATAGGTTTCATCAACAAATACTTGCTTGTAGCAAGAATACGGGTAACAACTGGATAACAGTTCTTCAAAAAATTCAAATGCCTAAAAACAAATCAAAACATTTGATCGAATAAAGAAAAGTGCAAATAAAATGAAACTAGAATATATCACTGGCTAAAAATAAACTAAAAGTATTTTCATTCTAGATTTTTGATATAAAGCTAGGTCTTCAGTAGGCTTGACTTACTAGTGACGTAAGGAACTCTAGTACGGGAAGTATTAAATCTCCAGGGAGTCAAGAAAAACTTCACGTCCATAGGACCAAGACTACAAAAACCAACTTGCCTCATCCTGCTAAACATAGACCAAAATGTAGATACCACTTTTAGGATTTTTCTTTTATTTAACATATAACACAATAACACTGGCAGCTCAGTTTTGTCAGGAATGGTGTTACGTGTTTTTAACATTTTGTTACTAGGATTTTACAGCACACCATACAGATTACCCCATGCATGAACTTATGAAATCATAGTTTACACTAGTGTTGCTTTGAGCATTAGAACACATAGCAAGTGTATATATAAAACAGTTCAAAGTCTTTATTAAGTTAAACCTTCTTTTAGAGCAGGTAGTCAAACTTTACTGGGCTCTTACCGCAGACTAAACCAATGAAATAACATTGTTATACTTGTTACTCTGGGTGTGACCAATTAAAGAAATATGTAAACTTGGGTATATAGTTTTGGTTTGACGTTTTAGAGATATGTATTTTTAAACGTTTCTGTCTGAGTAGTCGTTATACTTCTGCTGTTCAAAATGTTCATGAACTTGTGTTTTTCTAGAATTAGAATGAACGATGTTAAAAAAAAATTTCCAATATGAAAAGAATTGAGGTAAAACATGTTCCATTGATGAGTCTTGCTATCCTACATACTGGTTGATACGAGTTCCACACGAGCTATAAATTACAGAAGTAACACATGTTCCACTGATAAGTCTTGCTGTCCCACATACTGGTTGATACGAGTTCCACACGAGCTATAAATTATAGAACTAACACGTGTTCCATTGATAAGTCTTGCTGTCCCACACACTGGTTGATACGAGTTCCACTACGTAGCTATAAATTACAGAAGTAACACGTGTTCCACTGATAAGTCTTGCTATCCTACATACTGGTTGATACGAGTTCCACACGAGCTATAAATTACAGAAGTAACACGTGTTCCACTGATAAGTCTTGCTATCCTACATACTGGTTGATACGAGTTCCACACGAGCTATAAATTACAGAAGTAACACGTGTTCCACTGATAAGTCTTGCTGTCCCACATACTGGTTGATACGAGTTCCACACGAGCTATAAATTACAGAAGTAACACGTGTTCCACTGATGAGTCTTGCTATCCTACATACTGGTTGATACGAGTTCCACACGAGCTACAAATTATAGAAGTAACACATGTTCCACTGATAAGTCTTGCTGTCCCACATACTGGATGATACAAGTTCCACACCCCCTGGAGCTATTCAGTTAATACTTGAAATAAACATGTAAGGCACATTGGTTCTTAATGTTTTAAACTTGTAAACTAACATTTTTAGGATACATCATGTAATTTAAACTGACTTATCTGCATAATTTGCTCAGGAAATGACACAAAAATAAATAAACTTCTCCAATAGTTTTAAATATATAAATTACCAGGTAGGAAACTCCAAATGCTATTATATTATTAACATTCACACAGATTTTCCAAACATTAGTTGATGTAATGTGTGAATCATAAATTACTGGCCTTAAAATAAAATCCTCATGAAATGCCACAGTGATCCTGAAAAATATTCAGTATCTAAGAGACTGTTTATTGTTATATGTAAATTAAAATATCATCCAAGCTAGTTTTCTGAATTAATCACCCTTAAAAAGTGTTTACAACCAGTGATATGTTTAAAATACCATTTTTAAAAGATTAAGCACATAATGACTCATAACTTTTAACTCCTCTTATCAGTTTAATCATAAATAAAATCTTTACCTCATGTAAAAAACTTGTGGTGTTTGTAAGGATTCCTTTCAAATGGGGTAAGCAGAAATGTGTTACCTCATGCATGTGTTGGTCCACAACAATCTCAAATGGACTGTAACAAAAACAATAACAAACTGTTGATTCACAACAATCACAAATGGACTGTAACAAAAACAAAATTAAACTGTTGATTCACAACAATCACAAATGGACTGTAACAAAAACAATAACAAACTGTTGATTCACAACAATCACAAATGGACTGTAACAAAAACAATAACAAACTGTTGATTCACAACAATCACAAATGGACTGTAACATATATATGCTCTATCGTATAAACCTTACTAATATTAAAACAATTTTCTGTTTTTAACAAAAAAAGCTTTACCGATCAATGAATTCCTACTTAACATACTAACCCTACTGCAAGAGCAATGTTAGGTGCACATGTTGGTGTGGATAAATAGTAGTGAAACGTTTTCCTCTTCATGTCAGATGTGTAGACTGTCTCCAGAAGATCTCCAGATGATACAGCAACCATGCAAGCATCTACTGTACACTCTATGTTCCATGTGCATGGTTCAGAATAAGAGTCAATGCAAGGAAACCAAAGCCTAAAATGAAACCATTCAACTTATTAATTATGTAAATGGGTTAGAGTTGGTGCTGTTGTCATTGTTTTATTGCAGAGCTACACAAAGGAATCACAGCACACTGTCCATCACAACGAATTGAACACCAGATTTTCGTGTTGTAAGTCCATAAGGTTACTGCTAACCCAACAGGGGACAAGAGGAATCAACCATCCAACTTTTAACTTTATGTTTTGTATGTAATATTTTTGGTGTAAAACATTACTTGTCTTTAAACAAAGTACAGATTTCACCTTCGACAGTTCATAACATGTTACCAAAGCTCTGAACTTTTGATAGCACTAATTCACACAATTTACTGATGATGTCACTATAACTACTAGTTTATATTTCATTGAAAATCAATATAAAACAGTAATCTTGTTTTTATATTATTTATGTAAACATACTTGATGTTACAAGGGATACTCGTATAGCTACATACAGTAATCTTGTTTTTATATTATTTATGTAAACGTACATGATACTACATGGGATACTTGTATAACTACATACAGTAATCTTGTTTTTATATCATTTATGTAAACGTACATGATACTACATGGGATACTTGTATAGCTACATACAGTAATCTTGTTTTTATATTATTTATGTAAACATACTTGATGTTACAAGGGATACTCGTATAGCTACATACAGTAATCTTGTTTTTATATTATTTATGTAAACGACCATGATGCTACAAGGGATACTCGTATAGCTACATACAGTAATCTTGTTTTTATATAATTTATGTAAATGTACATGATGCTACATGGGATACTTGTATAGCTACATACAGTAATCTTGTTTTTATATTATTTATATAAACGTACTTGATGTTACAAGGGATACTCGTATAGCTACATACAGTAATCTTGTTTTTATATTATTTATGTAAACGTACATGATACTACATACAGTAATCTTGTTTTTATATTATTTATGTAAACGACCATGATACTACATGGGATACTCGTATAGCTACATACAGTAATCTTGTTTTTATATTATTTATATAAACGTACATGATGCTACATAGGATACTCGTATAACTACATATAGTAATCTTGTTTTTATATTATTTATATAAACGTACATGATGCTACATGGGATACTCGTATAGCTACATACAGTAATCTTGTTTTTATATTATTTATGTAAACGTACATGATGCTACATGGGATACTCGTATAGCTACATACAGTAATCTTGTTTTATATTATTTATATAAACGTACATGATGCTACATGGGATACTCGTATAACTACATACAGTAATCTTGTTTTTATTTTATTCATGTAAACGTACATGATGCTACATGGGATACTTGTATAGCTACATACAGTAAGTTGTATTGTAAGAGCACCCTTTGCTGCCAATTAAACTACAGTTGAGTTAAGTAAACCAAGTCTTTATTTGGTTTTGCTTGAGTTTACTTACTGATGATAAGTATTTGTTTATAAGTTACAGCTTTTACAGTAAGAAAGAATATTTCTTTTAGAGGTAAGACATTTCTATTGCTGACGTGATTACTCTCACGTTTACCAATGTTCAAAGCATCGTACCAATTCAAAAAAATATGTTCCTCCTTTGTGTAAATTGTAAAATAATATCTTTATTTAATAGTCAACATTACAAGCAGGTTAACAGTCAGACTTTTAAACATAAAATTGTTGATTAATTAAACATACCTAATAATAAATATACAACAAAACAAAATAACACTAACAGCTCAATTTGAAAATAAACTTGGACATTTAACTATGAAAAAAAAAAGTTATAAAAGTGTTATTAGCAGTCACATCTTTTTTTAAACAAAACTGTTGATTAATTACACATGATCATTGTATAAAGCTTCAGCAAAATAAATAAATGATATTAAAAAGAATTATAAATAACAAAACAAAACTAAGTAGCTACACCAATTTAGTTAGAAAATGAATATGGATTTCCTTCTTATGTCTTGCAAACTAGGAATTCAGTAAATCAATGCAGCAGCTAAATGTGTCCCTCTGTGATTCACCATCCAATATCCAGGAGTTGCTACTTATAATGTTATGTTGGAGTGTGTTTTTATTTTTTTGAGACAACTTGAGCATTATACAAATCAAAAGATTATATTTTCCATATGAGTGACATTTAATGTGTGATTACTGCTGTCAAACAGTTTTTGTTAACAAGAGGAATATAAAATGACCCTGCTCAAATACCACCTGACAAACCTTCAGATGTTTAGAACTATCTATGAAATAAACCTTCGAACACATCTCTAGTTTTAACTAACTAACCAGTTTGTTTGAAAATCAACACAAATGTATAAATATATAATTAATAGTTGCTTCTTAAGACATTATTCACTTTGTTAAAGTAATTCAACTTTGCTGGTTCCACAAACACATTTTTAAACAAAGACTTACCTCGAAGAAGTTTCATAACCGTATGTAAACATGTGAGCTCCTCTCTGTAAGAAAAAGTTTAAACTTTAAGCTCCTGTCTTACATGTATGTTAAAGTTTTTACTGTAAGCTGCTGTCTTACATGTATGTTAAAGTTTTTACTGTAAGCTGTTGTCTTACAAGTATGTTAAAGTTTTTACTGTAAGCTGTTGTCTTACAAGTATGTTAAAGTTTTTACTGTAAGCTGCTGTCTTACAAGTATGTTAAAGTCTTTACTGTAAGCTGCTGTCTACAATGTATGTTAAAGTTTTTACCGTAAGCTGCTGACTTACAAGTATGTTAAAGTTTTACTGTAAGCTGCTGTCTTACATGTATGTTAAAGTATCTAAGTATGAACTTCTCAGGCAGAGTTTAGTAGAGTTGTCTAATGTTGGGTAAGTAAGCATCTAGACATCCAGTAGTTTAGTTAGAGTTGTCTAATGTTGGGTAAGTAAGCATCTAGACATCCAGTAGTTTAGTAGAGTTGTCTAATGTTGGGTAGGTAAGCATCTAGACATCCAGTAGTTTAGTAGAGTTGTCTAATGTGGGGTAAGTAAGCATCTAGACATCCAGTAGTTTAGTAGAGTTGTCTAATGTTGGGTAGGTAAGCATCTAGACATCCAGTAGTTTAGTAGAGTTGTCTAATGTGGGGTAAGTAAGCATCTAGACATCCAGTAGTTTAGTAGAGTTGTCTAATGTTGGGTAAGTAAGCAGCTAGACATACAGTAGTTTAGTTACCTCATAGTAAAAACCACAATTTAAAAACATTTCTAACTTCTTGAAAGGTGGTTTTTAAGGTCTTGTAAGGAAATTAAATATTTCTTTTATCATTATTTTGTGTGTGATAGAAATTTCTTTTAATAACAAAACGGGATAACTCAATAAAATGAGTTGCTTATACTGAATTATGTATAATCAAGTCAATGAAATGTCTTAAATTTACACAACAATGTTTCATACCTCAGCTAACGTGCCTTCTGTGTTAGGCACAACAAAATGGACTCCACCTTGTGGTCTTTCTATTGAAAACTCTACATTCACCCTAAGCACCTTTCCTTCTGCATGAAATTAAATAAATTTAGTTTAAAATATTATATTTCAATACAAGTTTTTAATGCTGAAACTTTACAGAACCTATATGAACTTTAAACTTTACTAATTTCTAAAGGGAGATTAAGATTCACAACCTAAAAATACTTTGTTCAGTGAGTAAAATGTTAATTAGCATGATTATTCTGTATTGTATATCTTTCAACGGTAATTACTGTGTATTATAAATCATGCAATTCCTTAACAATATTCATGTACTGACTATAATATACTAAAGAATTACTCAAATTTTATAGCATCATGCTTCAAATAACACAAAAATGTTTATAAACATTAAACAAGATTAACATTGAGAACTCACTTTATTAAAATATTTTGGTTATGTCATAAAACTTATATAAATGAACTTTATCAAACTTAACTATCAAAATATACAAAACTTCAAGGAAAATAATTTGAAATATATTAATTACTTTTATAAGTTTTCCTTCAATTTGAATACATAGTCACACTCATATTTCAACAAAGTGTACTTAAATCAACCAGGTAACCACAAAACTATAGCAATAAACTTACCATTAACTAAATGAGAAGCTTCAGAAGGAATGCGAATGTTAAGTTCTCCATTGCCATTGTCAGAATCAACAGAATTAACAGCAGCCAGGTGACAGGAAGAGAAGAAATCTAAATTTCGTCTGTGATTGATGAAAAACAGAAATTTAATAGAATAATAAGTTTGTAATGTTTGTTTGTTATGAATTTTGCGCAAAGCTACACGAGGGTTATCTGCACTAGCCGTCCCTAATTTAGCAGTGTAAGACTAGAGGGAAGGCAGCTAGTCATCACCACCCACTGCCAACTCTTGGGCTACTATTTTACAAACGAATAGTGCGACTGACCGTCACATTATAATGCCACCACGGCTGAAAGGACGAGCATTTTTGGTGTGACGGGGATTCAAACCCGCGACCCGCAGATTGCGAGTTGAGCGCCCTAACCACCTGGCCATGCCGGGCCAAAATTTGTAATGAAGGATTGGTCTGTGATTGATGAAAAACAGAAACTTGATAAAATAATAACTTTGTAATGAAGGATTGGTCTTGTGCTATGTTAATAATCTCAGCATTTATCTTAAAATTTGAACACTTAATTAGTTAAACACAAGGGATAAATAGTATCATTTCTGACAAGATAAATTTTAGGAATTAACATTTATTTCATTATAATCAATTATTTTATAGAGGGCTATCGTTTCCACGTAAAATAATTCCTACTCACTGTTTGGCTTCTCCTTGACAGATATCTAAAGTTGGATCATTGTACACGAATTCAGCTTCGAAACTGTCTCCAATCAGCACACGATAAATACGTACACTAAAGTTAAGAAATCTCGGATACTTGAACGATTGTGTCAACTCTGACGTAAAAAATCACACACTGAACAGAAAATAGGAATGAATTAATTCCTGTAGTTGGTCTTCCATCATGAGTGATGCTCAAATCTGCATAGTTTTCACTTATTATAGATGATTTACTACTCAACCAATCAGCACTTTTCTGAAACAACTATGCTTGACATTTCTATTTTATTTTTTTTTCTATATTTTGTTTACTTTGTAGTTATTGGTTTAGCTGCTAAACTGACCTGACATTTTCTCTTTTTGTTCATGATTTTCATGGTGTTTTTATATTAGGGTTGAGTTTCAATATGCTAGAGTTTTGTATTGGGATACAATTTCTTGTATTATAATTGTTGATTTTTTTTTTCACCTTTACTTTAGTTTTAATTTATGGGCATCATTTTAAGTAGTAAACTTACCTATGTTTTTTTTTTGCCTGTTTCTTTACAATTTCTTTGTTTTTAAGAGTCAGACCTCAAACTCAGCTTCTGAAGGTGCTGGTTGCTAGTTGTTGTTTTTTTTACCCACTAGCAAATTCTTCTCCAACAGTAACTATGACATAATTAATTATTTTGTATAATAAATATGTATTTAGTATGTACGTATCCTATTTTTTTATGTATAAATCTTCTGTTTTCTTTTCAAATACTTTCGAATATTAAAACTCATTTCAGTTACATGTAGCAGTTGTATTTCAGTTGTCTTACAAAACATAAAAGATGCTCAGTTTGGGTGGAAACTGACGTATCATAGCTATGAGCACCTAGACTGACAAAGCCTACAGTACTGATGGCAAGTTTATACTGAAAAAGTATCTTATTATTATTGGTTATGATTTAAATGCCAAAAGCTGGTGAAGCATTAGAAGTCCATATACACAACATTTGTGTTAATCATGGACAAATTAAGAGGAATGAGGAAACAGAACATCTACAGTCTATTATATTATTAACTCCAATGAATAACCACAAGGAAAGTATTTATTACCAGACTGCCAGCAAAACTGCACTGCAGAGGCCAGATGGTGTGTATATCAGCTGTATTTCTTACCATACTGCCAGCAAAACTTCACTACAGAGGCCAGATGGTGTGTGTATCAGCTGTATTTCTTACCATACTGCCAGCAAAACTGCACTGCGGAGAACAGATGGTGTGTGTATCAGCTCAAATGTGGATCACAAACTGGCACAGCATGAACTACTGAAACACTCTTGTTAATCAAACTATTATAACTTTATGTTCACAGAATCTTGCAATATAAATGACTGAAATGCATGTATCATGGGTGCATTAATACTAGAAAGTTAGAACATGTGAATCTTCCTTCAGAAATGTGTACTAGCAATCTTTATCTAGTGCATTCTAAGTTTTACTAGCCAAACTAGAACACTAACCAGTAACTTACTAACATTAATTTGGAGCCTTGAAGGTGGCATACTAATATGGCTTGCTAAGGAAACTAATATGGCAGTCCCAAACTCTGCACGGACTAATTACCAACACGATTTTTGCTTGGCTGATATTTTATTCAGTGTAACAAAGAGTTTGATTTTGGTTTGACCACAATTACAGAAGTATAGACATGTAAATGACTAAGATCTCAATGATGTCGTTTCTTTTCACTCCCATAACAAAGTTACTGGAACATGTTCATGGACTAATGTTTCTCATTTTGGGGACCATCAAATGATAACCTGTATGCCAAAATTGAAAAAAATGCATGCTTCACTGATCACAGTTTTACCAAACTTACCTGATCATCAACATGTCATCACTATCATTCACTAAATTAATAAAATTGACATGAAAGATAATGAATTTACACATTCCAGTCATGTTAAAATTCATAATTTTTTGTTGTTTTTGGTAGTAAAAGTGAAAAAAAATGTTTTATTTTTTCTTTAAACTTTAAGCATTTATTTCTATAGAGTGTCATTAAATTCTACCCCCCCCTCTCCTCCCACTGACTACTTAATAATACAACATGACATCAATAGGTCACACAAACTATGATTTCAGCTCTACTCAAATATTAGTGAGGTTTTTATGAATAATGCATTTAACAATTAATCTTTTACATATGAGCTCATCATCACGACAGATTCTCCTACAACATACTTAATGGAGTACAGCATTCAAGAAGTTAGCAATGACCATATCACAGCTAATCCTTACCACCATTTTGTTTTTTGTACAAGCACGAGATTTTAAGGTGCATCTCATGTTCCTAAATTGTGTGACTAATAAGCACTTGTGTAAACCAATTACTAAATGTACAAAACATATGAAAATTCTAACTTAAAGGACATGATCATAACAGCAAAATTTGGAATGAAAAATCTGGATCATTGCACTAAAATGGGAAGGGTTGGTATCTCTGTATTAATAATATAAATCACTAAAATATTCAAGAAGGAATTTTAAGGATTCGTAATGAAACACGTTATGCATCTAAAAAACACTGATTGACCACTTAGAACTTAAGATCAGTATAATACTTACTTACAAATTGTTTTTTTCTTCACAAGCTAGAAATTGAAATATTCACCATAAACAATAAAAAAGGATATGACACTGTTTACAGTTGAGTTTAATTCTCCGTAGGATATTTTGCTGGGGTATGATATGGAGTTCCACAAAACCCTATGAAATTTGAAAAAAGATTATCAAGAAACATTATTTGTTTTACATAAAATAAATATTAAAAAAAAAACTGAATATCTGTTCTATAAAATTTTGTTGAAGCTCTGAGAATTAACTTTCAAATTTTACAATATACTAATTATATTAGTTGTATCTATATAAACCTATCTCATTACATGTTGTCTGAAATTTCTGGCTACAAAAAATGTCAACAACTAAGATGAATGCTGATATCATGGTTATACATCTGTTATAACTGCTAGTATTCAAAGCTTTGAAATCTAGTCAAGTAATTTGCTTGGTATTAAAAATTGCAAGTAAATTTAATGTCTATTAAAATGTTTGTTTCTAATGCTCTATTTAGTGATCTTGTCTCATCCATATTGAAATATTTCAATAAATTTATAAAACATATGCACTGGTATCCTAAATTTTAGAAAATTTAGATTTAAAATATTTAGATCAAATTAAAATTTAAAGAAACTTACAATAAGTGCTTGTCGTTGAAAATTGATGTTTGTAATGCATAACACTTGATGGGATTTGCATGAAAAAAAGAAATGAAATAGTTAGAGATCGAGTGAGATGAAAGTATTCAAAACTGAGCACATTCTTCATTCCTGTTGGTTCACTTTGCTGGAAAATAATGCATTTTAATTAGTATTACCATCAGGTATGCTAAAGAAAATTACTTTATAAATAAAATTATGTTGAAATAACCTCAAAATCATTTCCAGGTGTTTATATTTCTTAATAAATAATATGAGAAACTGACTTTATACACTGTAGACCCTTCATCTGTTTGCTTGTTTGGATATTTGTGCAAAGTTACAAAAGATCTGTGCTAGCATCAGTAATTTTGAAATTATAAACTATGAGGAAGGCATTCAGTCAACAACACCCACTACCAATTCTTGGGTTAATGTTGTCTTACTGAATAACAGGATTTGATAGTCACTCTTGTAGTGCACCCATAGTACCAAAGTGTAGAGAGAGTGGTATTTTGCAGCAACAGGACATGAACAATGAACCCTTATACTCACAGTATGGACATGTTAACGACTAGGCCTTGACTAACCCTGTAGCCTTTGAAACACAATTCAATTGTTTTCTGATGCTAAACCAAGGTTAATTGTATTAATCAACAAATTAGTGTTTTTTAAAACATTTTACACTCATACAAATGACTTAGTACATTATACTCACCACATCTTGACAGTTCATATTACCTTGTTCCATGACCACACCTATCTAATGACCACACATCTTGACAATATTCTTTCATTTCAAAAGGTGCCATTCTAAGTCTGTCCTGTCCAAAACACATCACTATTCCCTGGTGCCTTTTTATAATTCATCTAATGTATGAGGATGAGTTTCCAAGCTGCTGTTTCCACAGCCCAATTGCACAGAAATCTATAGGTACTGTACCTAAAAACTTGATCTATGTGTTTTTGTATGGAATAGCATGAATATCCATTTCACTTTCCAACTGCCTGAAGTATGCAATGGTTAAGTGAGAGGTATGACTCGAACACTAAACTTGGTGAATCCATACCATGTTGCCCTCATTTATAGATGGATTTGCTAGTACAAATAAATGTTTCCTACATTTCCATACAAATAGATTGATGTTTGCTAGTGTAACGTACTTTTGATGTAGTGAAAAGGAAATATATTACTTATCTTTAAAAGTTAACTGACCTAAGGTGTTTCATGTGTTGATACTACTATTAAACATTAAAAATTCATGTTTTTTCTTTTTAATTCCTCAAGATTTTCACTATCAAGTTCAAAATGACCCGTGTAGTTATTTTAGAAATAAGTAAAATGTATTACCAGTGTATCAGAAGTTTACATTGTTTACAGGGGGTAAAGTTCCAAGTACGGAGCACAAAATGTTCCCTGTACATATGACAAATAATGTTTGTTTGTTGTGAGGTGCAAAGTTACATACTGGGCTATCTGTGATGTGCCCATCAAGGGTATTGAAACCAATATTTAGTGTCATAAGCCCTCAGACTTACAGCTGAGCCACTATTGTACATATTAACCCATTAACTGCAGCAGGAGCAGCTCAGTTGTCGTTTTCTGACTCAACAAATAAAACTGAGTTGCCAACAATCACAATAAAATGGTAATTTTCGTCATTCGCATATAGTTATATATGTGCAACTGACGGATATTTCCGCCATTCGCAGCTGAGCCATAGAACTTCAGTGATGGAAATATCCATCAACCGCAGTTAATGGGTTAAATTATGAATCCACTTGCAAATTTTTTGTGTAAATGTAATTTTTTGCTTGATTGTTTTGTGAATTTCAGTGTAGTAGTAGTTTTTGTAAATATTTTTACACCAATTACTTTCTTTATATTTGTTTTTCCCACACATTTAAGCAGTATCATTGAACATACACAACCAAAAGTGTACTACTTTCCAAAAAAATAACAGATAATCAAAACAATACTACATTCAATGACTACAAGACATTTTGTGATAAACCGAGGGGCCAATTTTGACAAAATATACATCACAGAATATTGAAAAATGACAACAGACAGTGCATTCTTCATATTCATCTTACACTGACAAATGACACTGACAAAGTCAGATAAAAACGTGCTAACCTTTAACCAATGACGTACCATTACATGGTAGTACTATCAAATTAATCAATAACGAATTACTCTGATAATCGTTTAGACACCTGTATCTAACGTTATATTATAACTAATCGTTATAGTCCTACAGGCTACACAGCTCAAATCGCAGAGCCACTGCTGGAATGAATTAGGCCTAACAATGTAATATAAGTATACTATTATCAATGAGTAATATCTTATTCGTCCTTTGTTAATTCATTTTCTAATCAACGTTCACTCAAAGTTAAATACGGTAAGACTGTTAGTGTTAAGCCTACTTTATTTACTAAGTGTTAACTTAAAATAACACTCATTTAATTTAAATTCTGAATAAACAAATACTTATAATTTGAAAGGTCTGGGGGAATCCGATATCTTCTCTACTTTCTTCATATTTTGTGCAAGCATTGATTAACTAGGGTTCTAACTTCAGTAACATTATGAACCATTAATCGGTATATTAATAATACTGCCTAGCCATAAATAACAGCTATGTGTTCAGCCATCTTTATTCTCAGTTTTATTTGTCATTACTAGAGGGAAAGTTAAGCGGGAAAACTCTGAAAAATAATTATTTTAATTAAAAACATTATATTCTTGTAAAGTTTGATAATTTGTTTTTATAAATGCTGTTATTTTTAATATTTTAATACGATGATAGAATTTATTCCTTAAAATTTGATTCACATCCTCTTTTTTTAAGACGTGTATTTTTGCTATATGCCATATTATTAAATTTAGTAATTGTTTATTACTTCCTATGTAATTGTGTTTATAGTAAACATTTATACCAATTCTCCAAATGAAGATACCGGAGGAATGGATCTTGAATTTACTATTTATATATTCACATTTATATAGAAAATACCAGGCGTAGAAACGAAACACATGGAAATTTCTACAGAATAAAATAATGCAAAGCACAGTGAAGTTTACTTTGAAAGGAAAGGGCTGTTAATCTTCTGTTTTGATACATAGATAACCCTTAATATTTCAGGCAGTTCTTAGTATAATTTCGTGTTACCATAGTCGAGAGTATATATATAGCTACTTTAGGAATTTCTACTAAATTTATCATAACATAAGTGGGGGATTTAGAATTTTTCAAGCTTTGAAACATTTTTTTAAACATAAAACATCAGATCAGGAAATTTTGTATCAAGAACGTTTATATTAGCTAAAGTGGGTCCTAACAAAGAGCTTATTGTCGCGCCATCTATTTGTTTGTCATCTTTTTGAAGGCCATATAAAATGCTAGATCGTGATCCTGTTGAATAAAACGCACGTGTTTCGTCAACAGATACATATCCGTGCTCCAGCAGTCAAGAAACAAGTGAAGGTCTCCTCCCTTCATTTTATTTCCACATCTCCTCACAGCTTCGCCTAATGTCTTGTGGCAATCTAACTAGCTAGAATAATATCAAAATTCTTTTCACTCATGATGTAATTCTTAAAGTTAGACGCCACTTAATTTCAAATCACGATGCGGGGTGAAGAGAAACAGAATTTTCTTACCGCCTCTGATTATATTTTAACCTAAATTTCCACCATATTTTGGATAGACTGTTGGATACAACATGTCGTAAATATTGTCTGATAGCACATTTTTTCGTTTTATATCTCTCTAAGCTCTCTGTGTTGCTTCTTCACGCTGACGAATAAAGGATCTATGTTCAGTATTTTAAATCTAGTATTGTCATCTAGAATGCCACTCATTTTTAGATAGTTAGTTTTGTTTAGAACAACAATAGAATATAATTTTATTTTCAACAACATCTTCTATGAACTAATAGATGGCGCGGTAATAGGATCTCCGCAGTGACACTCTTTTAACTGAAGCATTCTTCTGTCATTATGAGCACATACGAGAGTTTCTACTTATCATTCAATTTTATTTTTTGTTTTGTTTTATATAGAATATACTGTAGCTGTAACATACCATACATAAGATGATAATTTATTTAAATAATTTCAGAATAATTCGATTAAAAGATGAAAATTAAGATGAACTGACATGGTTAATTTCAATACAAAGAAATGTGTTTCTTTCTTTCTTTGTTATTAAGCACAAAGCTTATACAATGGACTATCTATGCTCTGTTCACCACAGATAACAAAACCCGAATTTTAGCGTTGTAAGCTGTAAGCCAATACAAAGGATAAAGTGGGCAAAGTGACATTTAGAAAACGAAAAAATTTGTTTTTCTTTTTCCAACTGCTGAACTAAAGAGTTTAACTATTTATTCTCAAAGATGACACCACATTAAGTGTCCTTTACTTCTTCTTTTTCAGTCTAATTATATATTTCTAACTTCAAAGGATATGATTGTTTTCCAAGTTACTAAATTCTCAAGCGGCCAGGTGGTTAGGGCGATCGACTCACAATCTGCGGGTTTGAATTCCTGTCTCTCTGACCAGTAGTTAAATATTAGGGATGATAGCAGATAGCCTTAATAACTTTGCCTTCAATGCAAATGTTGTTTTAGACGCCAAATTAATGTATAAAATTTGCTTAGGAAGAAATAGCCAAATAAAAGTGACTCTTTGTTCTCTGAATTTTTGTTGTTGTTGTACAGATAACAAATATTATGATTTATATATATTCATATTTTTCTTTTCCATTTGATAAAAATATGTAAGTGACCATCTGAAGGATAATTTGAATATGTGTATGGTGTTTTTAGTTGTCATTTGTTCATCACAGTGAACTTACACATATTTTTACAAGATCTGAAGAATGTGTATAATTTACACTATTATTTTAGGCCTAGCATGGCCTGGTGGTTAGGGCGCTCGACCCACATTCTGAGGCAATCCCGCTATTTTTGGTAAAAAAGTAGCCAGAGAGTTGGCGGTGGGTGGGGTCGACTAGCTGCCTTTCCTCTTTTTTATCATTTCTAAATTAGGGACGGCTAGCGCAGATAGCACTTACGTAGCTTTGCGCGAAATTCAAAATAAACAAAATCACTACTCTCCATTAAAATCATAGAAATAAAAAACAATGCCATTAAACTAAAACAAAGAAATGTTTACCACTTTTCGGGGTAATTCTAAAATTTAAAAGCTTATAAAAATTTTATTTGAAAAAACTTCATTTGCCAATAATGGATAATATTAGGAATTACTGAAAAAGAAAGGATGCCGGGAAGCTTTAATTTTATCACTACAAAAAAACGAAACTATTCTTAAAAGTTTAATAACTTTACAGTTATTGAAAATAAATATTTAACTGCAAATTGATTTCATAGGCCTGCGTAACCTCAAAGCTGAATTTTCTGGATGTATTTTCAAATCAAATTGAGACAATTGTAAATCATTTTTTATTCGTAAAACTACCAGGGTTTTTCTTTTTTTTGTTGTTGTTTTAGCTAAGCAGAAAGCTGCACAGTGAGCTATCTGTGCTGTGTCCACCACGGGTTTTTAGAGTTATAAGCCCAAAGACTCACCGCTGAGCCACTGGAGGGGGAAGCAAATACTGATTGGTTTCACCATATTGGATTAAAAATATTAAAATAATTTATGCTTCACACTGCTTGTCGGTACATGACTTTTCTGGTTACAGGACCCCTACTAACATATAAGTTACACATACAAATGTAAACAAAAATACCACCAAAAATACCCATAATTAATCCCACTAATTAGTACTAGATTTCCTTGTGTATTTTACATAGAAAATTAGTGATTTCACCATATTTGTTTTTTTTTTTCGTTTTTTGTTCTTTTTGTTAGTAGCTTTTACCCACGTTCTTATAAACTGCCTATAGCATTCTCTTAGCTTAGATTGTTCCTAAACAAACTGTAAAAGGGTTCCAAATAAAATTACCCTTACTAACGAGTCTTAAATTGTTGAATAATGGGTTTAGTCTCTCAAATGGATATAGCGATTACAAAAGTAAATTACTCAGTCACTTTATATTTTGCCCAAATACGTCCACACATACAAAAGGCACGCTAGAAAATATATTAAACTTTACAAGTTACAATGTGCTCCAGCCATACAAGATACAGAATTCAGAATGTGAGGTTTACAGATGTTCTAAATATATACATTGAATATATATAATATTTTCCGTCTAATGTGTAAGCTGTGTATGAGTTAATGTCAATATAACTTACAACAGAAATATACAATATTTTTTTTAAGTTTTTATATATATGTTTATTTACAACAAAGCTGTATACAGTTTAAAATACTTAATCATAAAATATAACACGTTTGTCAGTAGCTTTCAGTTAACGACTGGATATGGGCAGTGTAGTTAAGTTACTGATTAGTTCTGGTCAGTATGGTTCTACTGCAAACTGGATATGGCCAATAGGTTTTGCTTGCTGACTGGATGTGATCCGTAGGGCTCAACTGCTGACTGGACGTTGTCATTGAGGTTTAGTTGCTGACAAGGTGTGGTAAGTGGGATTCAGATGTTGACTGGGTGTAGTCAGTAGGGCTGACTTGTTTATTAAATCTATTAAGCTGAATGCTTTATTGTGATCTTGTAAACTTCAAACCATCTTCGTAATGCACAAAACAGAGAAATAATTGTTCATTTTATTCTCACTCATAAATGGGCCGGTGCATTTTTTTAGCCATTTTGCCAATGCAATATTTTTTCATATTATTGCGATGCTCTGTGTGTGAAACACGCGACGCTTATGAAACTCTGAAGCAGAAAACAAAAAACAACAACAACAAAAAAAAAAAACGCTAAGCGTATCTGTGTGTGTCTACATTTTAATACTTAGTTAGCTATTCAACCTTTTATTTTGTTTTATTTCGAAATCAAAACTACGCAGCTACTGAAGCCTCATACAGGAAGATGCAACTGATTTGGTTTTGTTTCTTCGGGCATGAAAAAGAGCATGTTCTAATCAGTAGAAATAATACTGTTCCAAGTTTCCTTCACGGGTGAATAAAACCAAAGACCATCAGTTTTTTACCTAATTACGTCGTTAAATGTGACTTAATGAGACAGCAGAATCTGAAACTCGTGGATTTCTCCTCATTTTTTGAGAGATGCTAAAGAAAAATATTTTTTAAGCATTTACCGAAGACTGAAGTTTGCCCCGAACTGAAAAGTAGTGGTAAAACCTTACCTCAATGAAACCTAATAGTGGGCATCAAAGGAAACCAGCAATGAACAATAAGAAATATATTATCTATTATTTTCTTTGTTCATTTTACTAAATTAGCGAGTGACAATAAGGTATTGTTCACTACAGGTTACTACTTATAACTATTTATTTTCTATTTTCTAGATATATAAAAATTCCGCAATTTCTTGTGGTGGTGCATTTAGTGATTTCGTTAATTAAAGGACATTGTTGAATCGCTTCTTCCATAAGCAAACTGCATCTCGTTAAATACGTTGTTATTATAGTTACAGTTAGTTAAATTCATATCTGTACAATCAGACGCAATCTGTCGACAGTCGAAAGGTACGTCGTATGAGGCAGTGATTTTTGGTATGCAAGTCTCTTGAGATGACGGAGGAGTACGACTGTTGAAAGAAAACGGCCACGTCTGCTAAAATAAAGGAAAAGAAACGTTATATGTAGATTTCAATCATAATCATAACCTTCAAGTTCAACAATAATTCAATGTTGTACTTCTCTCATCATCATTTTCATCTCTACCATCATTATTACAATCGTAAGTGTCGTCAACACATGATTATCATCGTCAAAATAATCTATATAGTAACTAAAAGATAATTTTTTAAAGTATTATTATCTCAAAAATTCTTCCAATCATCATTTGATATAAAGACCTGCATTCTTATTGTTAATGTTAACCCTAACAATATTACTATCATCAGTCATTTTCCTAACGTCATCAGGTCCATTATTTCTATCTGAGATTAAAACAACACAATACTCTGCCTAAACAATCTATCAAAGCATACAAAATCACTGAAATCAAACTATCGCAATCGCCAAAATGTGTTACTCGAGGTACAAATAAGATATTTTAAGAGTCTTTTTCATTTTTTACCAATTCATCCTCTCGTAAATAAAAAGGGCTAGCGGCATCAGCGAATTTTTTTAAAATGCGGCACGTGACCTGTTCGTGCAAGGAGTCAAATGATTCGTTCGCGTGGCATCCGACAGGTGTGGTTTAGTAGTTGCTTGACTGGCTCCAGCTGCTTGAGCGGAAAGCCTGCCATGGAAAGTGGTGTGATACAGCTGTTTTGGAGTATGTTACAGATGAAATCATAAGTCTTGGCTTAGGCAAACAAACATTAATCGAAAAGTAAGACATTGTGATATACTCTAAAAAGATAAACAGTACTTATTTGAGAGAAAAAAAAAATCCTTAGACCCATATTTGTTTATAAACGCTCGAGTTTTGAAGATCCACGGCATACGACAAACACGCTTGTAGTTTTATTAATAATTACAACAGCTATTTCTCTTCTGATTATTGATTTAGCAAAGAAAGGCACGAAAAATCGAAAGAGTCCGACATAAATTAATAAGAAGAAAACAGACTTAACTACCTAAATAAGTACTTGTTTCAGCTGGAAAAAGATCAAACACTCGAGAATTTTTGGATCATGTTTATTGACTGTTGCAACATCTCTTTGGAATGATAGCCAGCGCTATTGTATATCATTATGTAAGGAAGGCTCTTTCTATACTGACTCATATCTTACTCCTTACGTAAGGAAGGTTCTTTCTATACTGACTCAGATCTTACTCCTTACGTAAGGAAGGATCTTTCTATACTGACTCAGACCTTACTCCTTACGTAAGGAAGGATCTTTCTATACTGACTCAGACCTTACTCCTTACGTAAGGAAGGATCTTTCTATACTGACTCAGATCTTACTCCTTACGTAAGGAAGGATCTTTCTATACTGACTCAGACCTTACTCCTTACGTAAGGAAGGTTCTTTATATACTGACTCAGATCTTACTCATTATGTAAGGAAGGTTCTTTCTATACTGACTCAGATCTTACTCCTTACGTTAGGAAGTTTTTTATATATACTGACTCATATATTACTTATTATGTAAGGAAGGTTCTTTCTATACTGACTCAGATCTTACTCTTTACATTAGGAAGTTTTTTTTATATATACTGACTTATGTAATAAATGTTTTATTATACTGACCCAGAAAATTTTCGATGCTAAAAAGAGGACAATTATTAGGCTAAAAGTTCTAAATTAATTTTTTTATCTCAATTTCTATATATATTGTTTGAAAATTAAACAGATATTTAACAGATAAAGTATGTCACTGTATTATTAAGATGACTTTGAAGACGACTATTGAATGAAACGTTGCAGTATTTAAACAGACGTTTCACTGTACACGATATTACACGTGTTACAGAAACACCTGGTTATCGTAAATAATATGTTCACGTATATATTGTTGTATCCCCATCATTAAATGGCACTAGCGGGGTAGGCCATTCACTGTTATGTTATTGTAGCGCATGTATCACTTGTTGATTTTCAAGAAATACAAAGCAATTTACAAATAATATAACAATTTACAATTACACACAATAAATAAAAAGAAGCTTTAGTTAAAGTTTTGGCTCGGCGATTTTCACCTGGACAGTTAATGCTTTTTCAAAAATTTCTGTTTGATTTCTTCTGTAAATATTCATTAATACTCATGGTACTAAGATGTTGTTTTAAGGAACAAGGACGTTAAATGTAAAACAACAACAAAAGACAATGTTTCTCATTTCTGGGTCTGCTAAATTAGTACACTTATAGATACTTATTTGTATTTATGGAAAAGCTGCTGAGGCTTTCTGCCGCCGTCTCTGTTTTCAACGGCTGACCAGAAGAAAGACAGCCAGTAGCTGGTATCACTATCTACCATCCATGTGAAGGTATAGACTGTCACTCTTATAACGCACCCACAGTTTAAAGTAGAAGGGGATACTTTGTGGCATCTCACGGATTTGAGCCTGCTCTACAGCTCCGAAACACAGAGCTCTTCTACCCCCAGGACCAACCGCCCCCCTCCGAAAAATGTGTAACTGCTTCGCTTGCTTGACACATGTCTGCTTTTGGATGTTCAGATGTTCAAAAAAAAGTGTTATCCACACCGTTCGTTTCAATCTCACAACCCTGGTGGGGTGTGAAATCACATCTCAATGAAATGTGTTGGTTGTATATGTTTAAAAACTAAAAAAGAAAAGTGTTATCCACACCGTTCGTTTCAATCTCACATCCCTAGTGGAGTGTGAAATCACATCTCAGTGAAATGTGTTG